CTAGAAAACAAATTTTGTTAAATTTTTCCTTGGCCTTTCTAGGCATTGCCTGGCCCAGCCAAAGCAAGCAGCACCCTCCCCAGATATTTATCAACCCCCCCCCCCCGAACGAAAATATGCAACTCTGTCTGGGTTTTGCTACCGTTATATAATAAACAATGCTGGCCAACGACAGGGGGATCATTCACATGAGCAAATTAAACAACATTTTGTATTCATGCATGCTAATTGTTAATACAGCTGATTCAATTAAGGCTGTCGTTCTAAAACCTTTAAACTCTGAGTGCCCAAGGGATGATGGGTTTTCACTTATTAGACCCTTAAACTCAGAAAATTGTCTTTGCGGCAAGTATGTTTTCTGTCGTGAGTCTTTTATATGTCTTAGGTAGTCTCACAAAACCAAATTTCATAGTTTGGGTCTAAATAAGCAATAAGCCATCATCCCTCGCACAGTCGGAGGTTTAAGAGGCTGTCTCTCTAAGAACCGACCAATGACTCTCGGCTCATAAAATGAAATTCTTTGTTACTTTCACAATGAAATGTATTTACCCCAAGAACAAACAAACACTAATTTTATTTATTAATTTTTAAAATAATTTTTAAAATTTCAGCGACTTTTCGGTCCCGCGCCGTTGGGCAGAAAATCCTCTGCCTAAATCAGGAATAAAAATTAGCCGAATTCAAATACATATAATTTTAAAAGTATTCAACCAAATGTTATGATTTTTTAACCCACCAACGTGAAAATTATTCTACTTTGAAACTTGCCTTGTTTTATGATACTTTTACAGAAAGATTATGGCAAACTTTAGCGATAACAAGCACCGGGTGCAAATACGGCTTTGTACGCATATCAAATTCGACTTTAAATTTCTCAAAAGTGGCACCTAGCTGGATTCAGTGACTAATATGGTTAAAAAAAGGGAAGTTTGAAGTACCCATATCCACAATAAAACTTGTTACTGACTGCGATTTGAAGACTCGACAGCCTCTGAAATTTGATAAAATTGGCTATTTTGTTTAGCTTCAATTATAGCGGAGTTGAGACGTCAGAGCTTCCAGTCACTTGTAAAATGCCCTGTTGTTCCGTATTTTTACACAAGCCTTTAAATCATCGTAGTTAAGCGATTTTTCTGTGTTCATGAACGTCACAAGTGGATTTAATTCAAAAAGATTTCGATTCGATTATATCAACTTCAAAAACTCATTAACAATTCATGAAGCAATTATCCAATCTTGAATAAGAAATTAGTGACGTGCATACGTCTTTATACCAGCTAAAGAACACTTTAACAAAAGACCATTGTTATGCAAACTATATAAAGATTTTTATAGAAAGATTTGACTTATTATGCATACGTTTTTGAAGTCATTTAAAGAACTCGCGGGTCGTGTTTTATTAGGTCTAAAGCCACTCGCGCTGCGCGCTCGTGGCTTTAAACCTAATAAAACACTCCTACTCGTTTTTTAAATAGTAGTTCACCTGGAATTGTTTAAAGAGAGCTAATAAAGGGTGAAGTTTATTTTCATACAAGAGTTTTCAAATGACGTCACAAAAATGCGAGGTTGGGGTAGGGTCGTACTGGGGGTGTGGGTAGGCCAGGGCATGTGGGGACTCTTATATGAAACGTCGACCAGAATAATGGTAGAAACTGTTCACGATGTATTCAAAAAGGGGAATGCTAATTAATGCGTAAATTACCCCAATAAAGTATAGTATCATGTGAAGATATAGTGGGGAATCGAAATTGTCAAATATATACTAATGGAATTGCTGTGCATTACACGGAAGAGAAGCTATAGAAACAAGACAATACGCCATGGTTCTGGTTTTCTGCTAATAAATAGCAGTAATTGTTGCACGATTAGACTGTTTATGATGGGAGTGCCAAAATTAGCAATGACTCTATTTTACCTCGCTTACCTCGCTGTAACGTTTACCTCGCTGCATCGAGCCAAATCTTTTCGAATTAAAACAACTTCTGATGTTCATGAACACGGAAAAATCGCTTAACGGCTTGTGTGAGAAAAAAAACCCGTAACGACGGCGCATTTTACAAATGACTGGAAGCTCTGGCATCTCAACTCCGCGATAATTGAAGGTAACAAATTTCAGAGGCTCTGGGAGTCTTCAAATCGCGGTTGGTAACAAGTTTTATTGTGGATATTGGTACTTCAAACTTCCCTTTTTTCAACCATATTAGTCACTGAATCCAGTTAGGAGCCACTTTTGAGAAATTTAAAGTCGAATTTGATATGTGTACAAGGCCGTATTTGGACTTGGTGCTTGTTATCGCTAAAGTTTGCCATAATAGTTTTGTAAAAGCATGATAAAACCAGGTAAGTTTCAAAGTAGAATAACTTTCACGTGCGTGGGCGAAAAAATCATAAAAGACATTGTGAAAGTAACGAAGACTTTCATTTTTTGAGCCGAGAGCCATTGGTCGGTTCTTAGAGAGATAACCTCTTAAATTCATTCCCAATCGTGCAGAATAGACATACAGAGTTTAGATTAATAAATATCAGCATTGTCAATTTGACAATAATTTCCGGGTTTTCCCCGAGTAGCTAATTTTAATACGAAAGCGTACCATGTTTGATAATACCTCGCTGCATCGATCGAAATCTTTTTTAATTAAACCCACTTGTGATGTTCATGAACACAGAAAAATCGCTTAACTACGATGATTTAAAGGCTTGTGTAAAGAAACGGAACAAGAGCGCATTTTACAAGTGACTGGAAGCTCTGACGTCTCAACTCCGCTATAATTGAAGCTAAACAAAATAGCCAAATTGTATCAAATTTCAGAGGCTGTCGAGTCTTCAAATCGCGGTCAGTAACAAGTTTTATTGTGGATATGGGTACTTCAAACTTCCATTTTTTTAACCATATTAGTCACTGAATCCAGTTAGGTGCCACTTTTGAGAAATTTAAAGTCGAATTTGATATGCATACAAAGCCGTATTTACACCCGGTGCTTGTTATCGCTAAAGTTTGCCATAATCTTTCTGTAAAAGTATCATAAAACAAGGCAAGTTTCAAAGTAGAATAATTTTCACGTTGGTGGGTCAAAAAATCATAAAATTTGGTTGAATACTTTTAAAATTATATGTATTTGAATTCGGCTAATTTTTATTCCTGATTTAGGCAGAGGATTTTCTGCCCGACGGCGCGGGCTGAAAAGTCGCTGAAATTTTAAAAATTAATAAAATTTCAAAATTCCAAATAGTGTTTGTTTGTTCTTGGGGTAAATACTTTTCATTGTGAAAGTAACAAAGAATTTCATTTTATGAGCCGAGAGTCGTTGGTCGGTTCTTAGAGAGACAGCCTCTTAAGTTTTTGAATTAGCTGTATATTGTTGAATTAGCTGTATATTGTTATTATAGCAATCAAATTTGAATAAATTGAAAGGACCTAGGGACCTGGCTAACAGGCTAAGTCTTGATGGTTATAGTAAGACCAGAATCCAAAAAATATAATATAGATAATATATTTAAAGTATATAAACATGAAAAAAGGATATTGACATAGCATATTTATATTGTTCTGTCTACATGTTTATGACTTGTCCGAACTTTGTTTCAAATCCTTTCTCAGCCCTTTCTTTTTGTTTTGCTTCTCTTTTATTCTATGTCGGGAGATATAGTCTCTGGCATATGAGAATGATCTCACCTTCAAATACAGTTTGACAATGTTTTCAAGGCATAACTTCTGGGTATCACCAGATGGATTGACACCAGATGACATAACAATATTTTGCCATAATGACTTGACAATTGGTAAGGAAAGGGTGGAATAGCAGATTGCATCGACAGGAATGTTTCGAATAGCCAGCTTTGACTTGTCAACTTCCTTTCTGAAACAAATCTCTGCTTCATGTAAAATTCTTACAATATCCTCACAAGGTGTTACAAGACCACCTCTTGTTCGGGCTAAAATGTAACTGTTGTTTTCTTGTTCTGATTTTAAATTCTGTAACAAGGTTTGAAGTTCATTGTTTTCCTCTTTAGACTTTGATGCTCTACTTAACTTTGAAATTACATACCCTGAAATATAGGAGAGAGGACCATGTTCGCTTGGCTCAATTTTGCAGTCAGGTGCAGATTCTGTGTCTCTTTCTTGGGAAACATTTTGCACGTTTAAAAATCCAACCAAATGATCGGGGATGTGGATCATGACAAGGTTTGCAACTCGCGAATCCGTACAGTTTAGTAATTCCGCGGACTTTGGCATTAACCCATAAAACGACTGGAGAAGTTTATCTTGATTTCGGCTTCGAGAAAATTTTGTGTATAAAGGCAACACTTCGTCGAACAATTCTTTAGTCGCTATAGCCTTTTCCACCGCAGCATTTATATTTTCCCCGTACAGCTTCTCTTTAACAATGTTTTCTTTTATCGTATCCACAATCGAAGTTATGGTCTCATAACAAAGCGGTGTTGTAGTCGAAGGAATTGAAACACTATCGCCATGTTTCGAATTAGTGTGCCTGGTCAATCCGCCTTTCGACTTGCATATTTTGCTGCATTTTGAACAGGGAAACGATTTCAAGCCTTCAATTTCAGTCACAGCTTCTGCAAATACATTTTCTACTCCTTGATCGTCAGTTTCTATGAGTTCAAGAGCAATATCTATGTTGTAGAATACACGTGCGTCGGGCATAATATCCTCTTGTTCACTCCTCGTTGAAAACACAGGCACAAAATCGCGTGTTTCTTCCGGTTCTTCGTCTGAATCTTGCTCCAAAACCTCCCTCATTTCTTGTTCTTCCTGCAATTTCTCTTCCGCATCCATGACACAAGTTTCAGGCAAAAAAATATATCGCAATCTGTTGAGACAGCTGGAAACCTATGTAATTCTATACTATTTGTCCTGAGGCGATGCACACTATCAGTCACGTGATTTTTTTGTCCTTTGATGCGCAACATATTTGCCGCCCCCCTTTGAAGTTTGCCGGCTCTCCAAACCATCTCATTCTATTAACTGTGGTTAAATATTCTTGTTCGAATCTCTATCAATAACACTATTTAGAGTGTTATTTTTCAGCTTGTATCTTTTAATTTGCTTCTTTTATTATGTTATTCCATTTCTGGTCTAACTTGACGTGAACTAATTTCAAAACGCAGAGTTTCAAAACGTCAAAACATTTGGTTAATGATTAACATTTAACCGAATTTAGCCGTTGATTGACAACTACATAAAAATACTAACCAATCCGTTTTTCCCGTTCACCAGCGGACGGGTAATTCAAAAACCCCTAGTTTTGCGGCAGACGGTATTTCCTTTGCTTCCCTAATTTTCGCTGCCCGTAGAAATACCGCCTGCCATGCAGGCTAGTGAATAAGATGCTTGTGATGTTACTCTGAGTGTATATCCGCACCGGGCAAGCTTGAAAAATATGCCTGACCACGGTGGGAATCGAACCTACGACCTTTGGAATGCTAGCCCAATGCTCTGCCAACTGAGCTACGTGGTCTGGTCGGTTCGAGTATGTGATCAGAATCTAGTTCCTTCGATATCAATGTAATCTAGTAATAATGATATTTTCTGTGTTGGTGCATGTACTCAGGTGAATAAGATGCTTGTGATGTTACTCTGAGTGTATATCCGCACCGGGCAAGCTTGAAAAATATATTTGCATATTTATATTATTTATATATAAAACGTATATGCATGTTTGCCGCAATTTGTGCGTGATTTTGGCCTACTAAAGTTTTGGTGTGCGACGAATCTTGTATTGTACGACTGATAGGCAGATGCAGTAGACATCGAGTTTGCATTTATCAATTTAGAAAAATTGTCGACGTTCATGGTATTCCCAAAAGATTGATTGAGATAGACGCCGGTGTTTTCTTTTTTATCGAGATAGATGCTGGCGTTTTTTTTTATGAGCAAAGAATATGCTTTCGCGTGTATGTTCATCTATTTTGACCAGCGCGGATTTTGGTCATACTAAAATAACCGTGACTATAATATCATATTACATATATTTTAATGAGAAAAACCTTTAACAATTGAACACCCAACTTAACGACAACTAGACAGTTTACTTCTTTTGCTCAGTACAAGCCGTTATACTTCATGCAGTATTTATAATGATAAATGAATTGGCATCTTTAAAAACGTGATAATTAAGAACGCAACAGAGATTTGTTTGTATTTTATTCGTAGTAATTTTTTTACAATGTCATGGTTTATTCACCGAAGCGTGCGAAGCAAGTCGACTCTCCAACAATTTTTGTTGTTCGTGAAATGGCATTTCAGATACTAGATAGAAAACCTTTGTTTTGACACGATAATGTTTAAAACTACAAGCTTGTGGGGTCGTGTATTTACTGTGGGGTCGTGTATTTACTTACTAAAACTGGCGAGAGAACATCTGGCGGGTCCTTTACAATACATAATAAACAATTGTATTGCTAGGTCGGCCTTTCCAGAAGCGTGGAAAATTGCAAGAATATCGCCCATGCATCCCTAAAATAGATCAACCTTTGTGTGAGGCGGACTATAGACCTGTCTCAATTTTGCCGGCGTTATCAAAGGTATTTGAGCGGCTTGTTTTAAATCAGATGATTGCGTATATTGAAGAAAGGGCGCTTCTTGGAGCTACGATATCTGGATTTCGAAAAGGGCATTCGACAACAACTGTGTTGCTGGGTATTCGAGACGCGTTGATTCGAGCATCAAAGAAAGGAGAGGTAACTCTAATGGTTTATGCAGACTATAGCAAAGCGTTTGATACTGTACAGTTCAGGTCTGTTCTGACTAAAATGCATGGATTGGGTTTTCAAAATCATTTCTGCACTGGATGATTAACTATCTTACAAATAGACAACAGTTGGTACAAATCAACGATAGTAAATCTAGTCTTACCGTGGAATTTGGCGTACCACAAGGCTCAGTTCTTGAACCGGCGATTTTCAATCTATACGTCGTTGATTTACAGGAAAAGCTTCAACTACCTTGCTATCAATATGCGGACGATGCTATAGTGCGATTGGTCGATTATTCTCAATGCTCTAATTTGGCACTGAATTCCTCCAAAACTGACTGGATGCTAGTTCCCACACCTCAGATGGCACGTGCTCATGATCTGGGTGACCGTACGTTTAGTATTAAATCTGGGGACAAATTCCTTGAACGAATAAAATGTAAAAATCTTCTAGGAATTTATTTGAACGAGCATCTTTCATGGTCTTCACATATCGACTATTTGCTAACTTCTTGTTATGGAATACTAGCAGTGTTGAGAAAGATGAAGAATTTGACGCTTTCCATGTGAGAAAAACACTGGGTGAAAGCCTTGTGCTTTCCAAAATTGACTATGCTAGTCCTGTATTCCACCCATTGCCAATATACCAACAGAACGACTTCAACGCCTCCAAAATGCATGCGTGGGTTTTTGTGTTAAGGAGATTTGCAAGACAGGAAGACCTTGCCACCTTGAACTGGCTAAATTTTACATTAGTAAAAGGATGGATTTAATATTTTAAAATTAGCATATAAAGCTTTACATGACGATTCTTTTCCAGAATATTTGAGATTATCGCTACATTGCGTTAATGTATATAGTCTAAGATCATCTTCTGCACCTGTCCTGGATATTCCCAAGGAGTCAGGAACATTTCAAGACTCAGCAGCCTCCATTTTTAATAACCTTCCGGCAGAAATCAGGAATATTAACAATTATAGAACTTTCTGTCGTTGTATAAAAAAAAAACATTTTAAAAACAGTGAATGATTCCGATTTGCATTGTAATTGGATTATTTGTCTTTTTTAACTTTTGTAGTTCTTGTATGATAATAGATTACTGTATATTTAGCATAATGTAGATAATTTTACAGGTGAAGAGCCATTCTGTTTGTAATGGATATACTGTGAATAAACCATTATTATTATTATTATTATTATCTATATAACTATGAAAATAAATTAATTATAAGAAGTTGATTAAATATGTACAAAATCACTCTGTCTGAACCGCGTGGTTGAGGCAGAAAGGCGTCAAACTTAGAATCTAAAAAATAGGCCCTCAAACATAACTGTTCTTTTAAAGACTTAAGCCGGTTTTCCACTAGGCGGAATTTTGCGCGCGGAGCGGACTTTTTCTTTCTCTTGTGATTTCTCGGGTGAAACTAATTAGAAAAGACAAAGAAAAATTCCGCTCCGCGCGCAAAATTCCGCCTAATGGAAAATCGGCTTTAAGTTGGTGATATTCCACTTCCTGCTCATTATATAAAAGTATAGTGTCCACAATACCGAACCTCGATATTCAACCGAGTCCTTCATGTATTTTGATAAAATACCTAATGCTCTCAGGGAGTAGCCACTAGAATGTCTCTTTACAATATTCTTAAATATCGATCTCCCTAGAGATCTCGCGCCTTCGCCACTTGATATTCCGGCATACGCTTGCCATCGGGACCGTCGACCGTTGTTTTGACCAGCCGTCTACGTCCCTGGACTGCTAGCCAGATAACCTGTTTCCATTCGAGGACATTCTCCATTTGGAAGCGATATCGTCTGGTGTTAGACAGACTGAGACTTTGTTCATTTGCAATACATAAAAGGGATTAACGCTCGCAAATAAAGTTTAATCTCTTTTTTGCTTCCTTTCTCAACATCGTCTTAGTCCAAAAGAAGATCGCTGAGTTGACACTAGAGTTGGACATGGCTATCGTGTACACCCAGACATTGTTGACTAGAAACTCGCTTTCGTCAGTGTTTCTATTTGAGGTAAACACGATAGCTGGTAGGAAAGACAGAATGAAGAAACACATGACAACAATGAAACAGGACTTTGCCTGTTTGATTTCTCGCAGGAACAGTTTCTTTCTTGTCAAATTCACTTCTTCTACATTTGATGGTTTGTTCTGTGCGCGATTCAGCTTTCTAACTACCAGGTATATTCTCGTGTAAGCAAACGCAGTGAAAACGAATACGAGAGGTACCAATAACGCCCCAAACATCATGATAGCAAACTGGATGCGAAAAGAAAGAACGATCGCAAAAATTGTAACCACAGCACCGGAACCGACATACACCAAAATTCTCTTCTTTGTCACTTCAGTGCTGTAAGCGTAGGGATGTAAGATGGCAATGTATCGTTCCATTGTCATAGCAGATAGTGTGATAGTAGATATTCCAATTGGCAGGACTGGGGAATATTTCGCCAGAAACGCCCCAACGCAATTTGACGTACCTGTAATACCTTGAATAAGGAAGGCAAGATATAGAGGTATGCCCAAAACGCCAACTACCAAGTCAATCGCGGATTGAACAAGAATGATAAAATAACAAGGCTTGCTCTTCAGTTGAGAAGATTTTAAAATTGTTATTATTGCGATAGCATTGAGTAGTATCGTAGGAGTTATCAAAATGCTGTTTAAAACAATTGCGAAAATACGAGTGATTAATAATTTGTCGGACATAAGTTTCGTTATAACAAAATGTGTAGTTCCAAAACTGTCGCATGATATTTGAAATACGTCTTCATGTGTCGAGTTGTTCATAGTGTGCCGTGTCGAGAGCCTCGTCAATGTACTTTTATACCGGAAATTCAGAGACGCATGTAGTTCCTTGCTCCCATATGCACAAGTGCCAAACCTTGTATAAGTTGACAATCATCTGATGCCCATGCAGCCTTGCATTTCTTATTGAAACCCTTCAAACCCACCAATAGTATGCGGTTTTTAGATCAATAATTTATTACACATCTGCGTGTTATTTGTAAACTAGTATATTCTATAAATATGATATTTTATGTATAGCGTCACCTTAATCAAATGTAATTGAAAAACCGAGAAAAATAATATATAACAATTATTTCGATCTTTATAGTCAATATCGCCATTTCGATCGAAAATATCGTCAATATCGCCATTTCGATCGAAAATATCGTCAATATCGCCATTTCGATCGATTTTTAGTTTTTAAGTATTGATAGTAGTATAGTATCACCGAGTATTATATTGTATTTATTTATACTTTAGTTACAGGTCCTTCATTGATAGCAGGCGATGTAGCCTGACGAAGAAAACCTGTATAAATATGTTAATTAATAATATAAATATGTTAATTAATAATAATAATAATAATAAACTTAACTTCATAACTTCCAGCAGAATTCATAAATTTAATAATAATAATTTCAAAGTTTTATTTTTTGGTAACTTGAGGCTGATCATTTTTTAGCCTCCGAAACTTCGTTAGTAAATATTTTAAAGCCTTGTTCTCGATCGTTAAGAATATAAAGATTAACACAAAAATCGTTGCATCAGCTGCATGTTTATAATAGAGTAAACGGGAATACTCCCGAGTCCCGATTATATTAGTGATATGTTTCCAAGTGTAACTAGGCATGGACATATCAATGTCGTCTGCATGTCCTCGCTATAAACGTGAGAATGAAGGAGGAAGGCCCTTTACGGTTTCAGGTATTAAAATCTGGCACAACTTATCAACTGAATTACGTAAAAAGCCTTTTCTTATAGTCTCTTTTAATAAATCTTTAAAGAAAATATTCTTAGACAAATATATGAGTGTTGACCATTTTTAAAGTAAAAGCATACTTAATTTTTCAAGTAAATTCTTTTAGGTTGTATTTTAATGTAATTTTAGGGTTTCAGATAGTTCTATATAATATGCTTGTGATCAAGCTTGCCCGGTGTGGATATACACTCAGAGTAACATCACAAGCATCTTATTCACCTGAGTACATTGCACCAACACAGAAAATATCATAGTTCTATATAAATTTGTAACTTATTGTATTTGGTATGAGGGCCAGTAGTACATCAGTTTTTACGAACTGTTATCTGTCACCCTCTTGAAATAAAATTTTTAATCAATCAATGTTCTTTTATATACTTAAAAATATCGAGTGTTGTGCCCTTAAGTATAGGAGGCGTGCAATAATATGCGATCGCATTCTCCGGATTCTATACGTTTGGCCTATAGGAGGATTTTTTGTGTATTCGGATTTAAATATATACAGACTGAGGTCGACGAGATGTCATACTATCGGTATTCCAGCTATCGACTACAATTTTTTATCTAGACAAGAAAGACGAAATTTATCTCAAAGAGCATCCTAAAGTTAGTAAAATTTACAAAGTTTGGTTGCCAAATTGGCAAATGTTGTAAAATACGAAAAATATAACCCCGTGAAATACTCGAAATTTCCTAATTTCACAAGGCTATATTTTATAGTAATTTAAGGATGTTCGTTAAAGCTATAATGATAGATTTCGTCGTTCTTGTCTGGATAGTCTATAGCTGGAATCATCCATTGTACACGCAACTGTAATGCATGGTTAAGAATAGAAAGTAACGACAATATAGTTACTTCTTTTATTGAGTACACCGTTGTACTTTTCGCAGTGATAAATGAGAACCCTCCAGAGATTTGTACGTATTTTATTCTTAGTATATTTTTTACAATGTCATGAATTATTTATTCCGAAGCGTGCAGTGGCGGCGCCAGG